CTTTCTAATAATGATAGTTCTAGCCAATACACTTAATTAGCAAGGATATTTTAGGAATGACAACACTTATTTATTACAAATAACTAATTTAACTTACTTCCTTAATTTCTTCAAATTAGTCAACTAAGTCTTATAATTAGAATCGGAAGCAGTAATATCACTAATAATATCATCATTGCCTAGGAAGTAATACATTCGACGAGAAAGAAAACTGGAAAAATGGGATGAATGGCTAGTAAGGTTGATTCGAAAAAAAGCTTTTGATAGGGCCAATTGGGACCAAAGCCAATAATATGGGTTTAGTCTCTGGGCTCAGTCCACCCAAAAAGGAGGGATTGGGTTGGCATTTTGCCAGCCCATGTCGCTTTTGGTTTACTTTGTTGTGGGCTAGCTAGCTTTTTTTTTAAGAGTTTTCATGAACTTTCTTTGGGCTTACTCAATAATATGGGTTTAGTCTTTGGGCTCAGTCCACCCAAAAAGGAGGGATTGGGTTGGCATTTTGCCAGCCCATGTCGCTTTTGGTTTACTTTGTTGTGGGCTAGCTAGCCTTTTTTTTTTTTAAGCGTTTTCATGAACTTTCTTATATATTATATAATATAGTTGAAGAATTTTAACGCTCCAATTTAGACATTTTCTCATTTATATCATTGTATATGTAATTAAACACTCGATATATGTGTGTGCATAGTTATATAGAGAGCACCATCCATCTTTTATTTTTCATCTATTTGTCATTATTATGTACGCTTTTATAATATTAAATAAACATGTGATGTTTATATACACACACATATAAAAGATCTACTTAATTAATTTGGATAAGAAAACTATTTCAATTAATTATCTATAAAAAATATGTGTTAGTTTTTCTAAAATATTTTCTTAAATTATAAATTAATTATCATATTATTTTATTATAACCCACTACTTAAGTTCAAGACTCTAAATCTAATTTAACATTTCAAATTAAACCCAACTCATATCAATAACGATAGTTTTTGGTAAAATAGCTCGCCAACCCATCTTGGTGGGCCAAAAACCCGCACTGCCAGTCCTTTACGAGTTCTACTTGGGACTTCCTTTGGAAGACACTTCTTGAAAGCCAAATTGCCGACTAACACGACCAAGGTTGTGATGAAATGTGTGACAATCTCAACAATGCAAGTTCTATGGAATGATAACCCAACCAATTCTTTCCAAACCCAAAGAGAAATAAGGCAAGGAGATCCCATTTCTCTCTATATTTTCATATCGTGTGTGGAATGGTTATCCCAAATTATTCGGTCTGAGTTAAGAAGAAAATTTGGCAGCCAATTAGATTGGGTAGAAAATGTCCTCCTTTATTCCACCTCTTTTTTGCTGATGATTTAATACTCTTTAGCACCGCATCATCAAAACAAATTGCTCTAATTAATCGAGTACTCATTGACTTCTGCGAGGCCTCAGGTCACAAGTTTATTGATGCAAAAACAAGAGTGTACTTCTCCGAGAATGTCTCCCGGCTGGACAGTATAGATGAATGTAATAAACGGGGATATAAAAGGGCTGATAACTTGGAAAAAAAAACCTGGGAGTGCCACTTATCCGTGGGCGTGTGACCACGGAAATGTACGGATATATTGAAGAACGGATCAAGCGAAAGCTTAATGGCTGGAAGGCAAAAACACTCTCTTTGGCGGGAAGGATAACCCTTGCCCAATCTGTCCTCTCAATAATGCCAATTTATGCGATGCAATCTGCTAGATTACCGCAGTCCACTTCCATAGGATCGCTGCAGTCACTAGGGACTTCATTTGGGGAACTGATAATTAATATAAAGGTGTACCCTTGATAAAATGGAGTACTATGTGGCAACCAAAAGAAAATGTGGGTTGTGGCCTCAAAAATATGACTGGCCAAAACCAGAGCTGTTTAAGTCATTAGATCTAAGAATCGCCGGAATACTCCCTTGAGAAATAACCTTAAAACTGCCAATGGATCTTATCTGTCGAGAAATGAGAAACCGGTCTGGGATAATCTAGAGTTGGGCCTATCCTGGGAAGTTGGGGTTGGGGAAAATATTAGATTCTGGTCTGATGCCTCGGTCAGTAATCATGGCCCACTTAAGCACCTGGCTTTTGCTCCCATTGATGAACCCGATTTAAGGAAAAATCTGCTCTGGTTTGTGACGAGCCAAGGAACTTGGAAATGGGAAGGGTTCTCTAATCTTTTGCCCCAGAATATAATTGATCAAATTGCTGCCATAAAGCCCTCTGTTCCAAACGCTCAGCCCGACAAATGTAGATGGGGTATTAATAGTAGCAGGGAATTCACCACAAAGTCACCTAGAAGCTAATCATGGAGGATGAATGGGATGATGAAAATAGTCATTGGAAACTGGCCGGGGCTACAAAGGGTGAGGACCTTTCTCTGGCTGGCAATGAGTAACAAATTGCCTACCAAGGAAGTGAGAGTGCACCAGCATATGACAGAAGCTGACACCTGCGGCATATGTGGAAGGGAGAGAGAGGATCTCAACCCGCGTCCTCCGGAATTGCAAACGGGAAGTTACATGTTGGAAGCTCATTGTACCCCCTCAAGCCCAGCCGCTTTGCTTCCCCCAACCTTTAAAAGGATGGTTTCGTGATAATCTTAGGCTCACTCATTGCAACCACACTTAGACGTTGGTTTTTGGCATTCTTTGTTGGAAATTGTGGGACGCAAGAAACCGCAAGCTCTTTGCTCAGGAGAACACTAATCCTTATCAGTTAGTAAATGAAGCTCTAGCGCTGAGTGATTATACTGCACAAGCAGAGGACTTCTTATCTAGAATGAGCCAAAGTGGAAGTTTTCTGACTTTGTATTGTTTTCCTTTTCGTTGCCATGTTGTTGTTCTCTATCGAGTGGTAACTAGTTGTTCGCAATAAAATTCCTCTTTCATTCCAAAAAACACACACACACACACACACACACACAACAGTCTCTTTGTGCAGCCATAATTTATACTTCGTTCTTAATATTGTAGGCGTTTTCTACAATTAATAGACACGCCTGCTATCCTTAATGCATTTCATTAAATAAGTTTAGCACGACGGGTCATTGCCATAAATTCCTAGCACTTTTTCCCCCTATAGTCAGATGTTTGTGCCCTGCATATTAAAGTTGCGTTGAAAAATGACATTACTGAGGATTAATGAATAAATATGAGTAGATTATTAAAGAGAGGCTGTTTGATAAAAGGTGAGATTTAAAGGCTGTTTGACAAAAAAGAAGAATATCTCCACTAACTTCTCTCCATTTAATTTCTTCATCATCGGATTAACTTCTAATGGTTGAGATTTAATTTAAAATTGAGTAAAAATATTATTATAATATTAAATATAATACAAATTTATCATATTAAACTACTTATATCAAATAGTATAAATTTATTTTTATATATTTTTTAATATTTAATATTTTTATAATGTTCTTATAAAATAATCTTAGCCATTAAAAGTTTGATCTAATGATGGAAACATTGAGTGGAGAGAAAGTGGAGAGACGGGTTAGCGGAGACATTCCTCTCCTGCTTGACAATGTCTATGAAACTCAAAAAAAATATTATTATCCTATCTTTTTAAATTTGAGAATATTAAGAAAGTTAATTAAGTTGATTATTTTTTTATAGATGTGTGTTTATCTTTCTAAACTATCATATTCAATTATATGTACTAGATAATTAAAGTTATTCATTAGTGAGAACCACTTGTGATTAATAGAGATACTTTGGGAAAAAAAAACAGATTGAGATTTTATATTTAAAATTAAGGGAAAACTATATTGGAGGTACCTATACTTTCTCTCAATTTTCAATTTGGTACCTATGTGTTTTTTGTTCTTAACTAAATCTTTAATTTTGCTCTATTAACATCATTAATCCTTATATAGAGACTAAAAATATCAATAGAACAAAGTTATAAGAGCTAATGTTGCTAAAAAGATAAAATTAAATGTTTAATTAAAGGGAAAAAAACACATAGGTACCAAATTAAAAATTGAGAGAAAGTATAGGTACCTCCAATATGGTTTTCTCTAAAATTAAATTTAAACTTCCACTAATGCTTATATTTAGTAACATAGGTAGTATAGACAATAAATTTAATGCTTCAGTGATGATATGAGAGAGAGACTCACGAAATTTGACATCGTATTCCGGCAGACTCAAAAGGTCCGAATTTAGGGAGAAAAAAAGAAACAGGAATCAGAAACAGAGATTAAAACTAGATACGCAGAACTGGAGATCTCACCCCACAATGAAGCACGAGTGACATGAGAAAGAGCAAGCCCCTTCATTTAAGAAGAGAATAGCAAGCACCAAAGAGATCAGAAAGAACTCTGAGCACGAAGAAATCAAGAAGAAGGGAAGAGAAGCGGATTGTCATTACCGACTAGTCTTTCTCCGAGAGTTGATCCGTTGAGAAGGAAAACCCAGAGACCGACTCAGAATGCATGAGAGAGGGAGAGAGACAGTTAAAAGAAAAACGGGCATGATTCAACACTTAAGCAGTGAAATGAAATATGTTAAAAGAAACTGGATCAGTAATGGAATCCGTCAACATGAATGAATGGAAGATTATTATCCATATTAAAAATGTTTATATTCAATATTAATGTCACATGTCAGCCAATATCCTATATAAACTGCACCTCGTTTGCTATGTAACAAATCATGATCACATTCGATTTTGAATTCTTCATCCCTCTTTTTTTTTTTTTTGGGTCTTTCGCAAGCCCCTTGATTTGCAGAGTTTGTTCTAGCTGTGAGTTAATTTTTTCCACGAAGTTAAAAAACGGCATTATTGGGACACGACATGGCCAAACAGAATATGCCAAAGAAACCAGCTGGGACGACTATACAAGTCAAGTCAACGTAAGAGAATGAAAATATCACTCTCATCGGAGATAAACGTTCGCGAGACGGGGTCATAAAGCCATACCTGCATCTCTTATGGTCTATGTCCTTAAAATTGAAGACTGATTCCCTGATTCGGTGCGTCATTATGAAGTTAAGCCGTGTAATCACGTTGAGCTTGTTCATAGCTGCAGCAGCGGTTACATCGGTGGCCGGTCAGGCCAAACCGGGTTGCAGCGGCGCGTGCGGCCACCTTGACATCCCCTACCCATTCGGTTCAAGAGAAGGGTGCTATAGAGATGAGAACTTCCTCATATCCTGCGACACCTCCTCTGCCAAACCAATAGCAAATTACTCCAATAGCAACATCCAAGTGTTACACGTCTCTCTCGACGGTCAGTTGCGCCTTTCCGGCTGGGTTGGCTGGGATTGTTACGTTCCCTCTGCTCGCTGGAACTTCATATCCTTTAAACTCCGCCGGTTTGCTATATCCAACACCAAGAACAAGTTCACTGTCATTGGCTGCGATACCCGTGCTTTCGTTTATGATTTTTGGGGAAGAAGGTTCAGCACTGGCTGTACGTCCTTTTGCAGAGACGTTGCTGACCTGGTCAATGGAAGTTGCTCTGGGATTGGCTGCTGCCAAACCAGTTTTCCCACAGGAAACTTGGGTTACAATATCAGCATTTTCAGCTATCGCAACCACTCTCAAGTGTTGGACTTTAATCCTTGCAGCTACGCTTTTGTGGTCGAAGACGGTGCTTTCAATTTCTCTTCTCTAGATCTCCTCGATCTGCGAGGCAAAAGAGACTTTCCTATGATCATTGATTGGGCTATTTGGGGTGAGAATTGCTCCGAAGCAGTGAAGAACAGAAGCAGCTATGCTTGCATGGACAATAGCTTCTGCGTTGATTCACAAAATGTTCGTGGCTACCTCTGCAGATGCAACGAAGGGTTTCGAGGGAATCCTTACCTGTCTGGTTCTGATGGTTGCCGAGGTTGATTTTTCCTCCATGTTATTACTGTTATTAGAGTTTCTATGTTCCTAGCTCATTTCCTTACGCCCCAATGTGTTTTACGCCTACAAACTTGCAGATATCGACGCGTGCAGCAACAGCACATTAAATCTCTGCAGTCAAACGTGCCACAACTTGTACGGCACCTACAACTGTTCTTGCCTGCCGGGATACATAGGCAACGGTTTCAAGAACGGAACAGGATGCCTTTTAGTGGATAAATCCAATAATGTCCCAATCACTGAAGTTGCTCTGGGTGAGTTCACATGCATCTTTGGCTGTCACTATTGAATAATACGTTTCTTTTGCAACATCGAAAATCTATAGGCAATCAATGAATGGGTCTTGTGAACGTCAAAATAAAAACACTATATTCTTTCCAAACCGGGGGGGGGGGGTCTCTAGCTTTTACTTTCTCTCTTAGTCTCTTGCATGTCTATCCGGTTCTACAGCATCTATTTAACAAGTTCCCCTGCTATTTTGTGATTGAAACTGTAGCTACAGAGTTTTACTTTTCTTTCTGTGATCATAAATCTCTCTATTCATTGGCATTGTGCTACTTGGAATGAAATGTTAATTGTGATTAACTGGTAGGCGTCAGCGTATTCCTCTTGGTTCTTGGAATTGTCATATCCTCCTTATGTTGGGTAGGGAGGAAAAGAAGGCTCGTAAACATCAGAAGGAAGTTCTTCGAGAAAAACGGGGGTCTCATGCTTCAGGAACAACTTTCCGAGCAACATGGTTACAGTGAAATGGCGAAGCTATTTACCGAAGAGGAGCTCAAAGAAGCCACAGATAACTTCCATGAAAGCAAAATTCTTGGGCGTGGAGGCCAAGGAACAGTTTACAAAGGAATATTACCAGATAAAAGAGTGGTTGCCATCAAGAAGTCCAGAATAGCAGAGCAAAGCCAAATCAAAGATTTCATCAACGAAGTGCTTGTACTCTCACAAATCAACCACAGGAACGTGGTCAAACTTCTGGGTTGTTGTTTGGAAACTGAAGTTCCTCTGCTAGTTTATGAGTTTGTCGCTAACAATACTCTGCTCCACCATATAGACCCATCAACGAAAACATCATGTCTTCCATGGGAAACTCGGCTAAGGATAGCTACTGAAACTGCTGGAGCCATATCTTACCTTCATTCTGCAGCTTCCATTCCAATCATTCACAGGGATATAAAGTCTACTAACATACTCTTGGATCACAATTACACAGCAAAGGTATCTGATTTTGGAGCCTCCAGGTTGGTTCCTTTGGACCAGACTGAAATCACTACACTTGTGCAAGGGACATTGGGATATTTGGACCCGGAGTACATACAAACCGGCCAGTTAACCGGGAAAAGCGATGTTTATAGCTTCGGGGTGGTGCTTATGGAGTTGCTGACTGGAAAGAAGGTGATTGAAATGAACAGGCCAGAAGAAGACAGAAATTTAGCTGTTCATTTTGTTTCTTCAATGAAGAAAGACCGTTTGCTTGAGATTCTAGATAGTGGAGTGTTGGATGAGAAAAATGTAGGGCAACTTAAGAAAGTTGCTGTATTGGCGAGTAGATGTATAAGAGTAAGTGGGCAAGACAGGCCAACCATGAAGGAAGTATCCATTGAGCTGGAAGGCCTGATAGCTATTGAAAAGCATCCGTGGGATGGAAAATATTTAAATTCCGAGGAAACTGAATACTTGCTTGCTCCAATATATGGAATTGAAGGCAGTACTAGCAATTCCACGGGGTTCGAAAGCATTGCACCTAAGATGGAAAGTGGGCGCTGATTTTTCTGTTTGTTGAATCACTACGCTATCGTTTTCCGTTAGTCTGACAGTTTTTCTGTGAATCATTTTAAATACACCAACCAATTAGTATGCATGTTTACAGTTGTATACTGTTATCCTATCAGCAACTGCTGATATTTTCCTAATTCTATCGTTTCCTTCTTTTGCTCTTCTCACAAGGATCTTTTATTTTATGGTAGAATTTAATGAGCATCATATTGCAAAGGATTTAAAGGTTGAAAGATATTTCACCTCGCTCCTTTAACAGGAGAAGCGAGAGTCTAATAATGGATAACTCTTACTGGAGCAAACTGAAGCAACAATTAATTAAGACACGTAATAACAGAGGGAAAATCATTGAATCCACGAGTATCAGTCATTTTTCATGCCATTACAAGTGCTCTTATACCGAGTGATAGTAATTGCACACGTGCTGCAAGATTCATGAACATTTCTAGTCCATTTTGAAACCTGCATCACTGAAAACTGTCCAGAATCTTGCTTTCTTATCAGCTCAGGCTACACTTCAAGATATATGCGTCAATTATTCTGCTAATGGTTTTTAGGCACAAAAAATGTCTAGAAGTTACTGAATTACACATAACCAGTTTTTTCTCAACGCATTTCACACTGAATGGATTGGAACAGTACGTTCAATTTTTAGAATTGACACAAACCGAAGCAAGCAGAATATTAACTGAAAATTACATAGAAAAACAATTTTAATCTTGAAATTTATGTAGCAAGAGGTGTTATGTTGTACAGAAACTGGGAGTTTGCAGTATCACTCCTGTACAACCATTCATAATTTTGGTCTTTGGTGCATAGAAATAAGGTTTAGTGTATGTTTCTCTAATCATGCAACAGATTGCAGATATTGTTCTTTTTCCCAAGATTCATGAAGTATTTTTGTTGTTCTAGAGTTTTAAGATGCATATGAGATCAGACTTCAGGGATTCAGTACTCGTAGCAGAAGTGAGAGCAAGAATGGTGAAATCGCAACCGATAAAGGAACAAACAAGATGCCATTTGAGTTTTTCAGGGAAAACATCAGAATAGTACAATATGAAATTAAAAGCTGTTTCAAAAATTTTTATGCAAAGGCTTTGGCAGTACATGAACACTGACCCCGAAAATTGAGAAGCCATGAGCTTTATATAAGATCTCAATGAGGAAAATGCAACCGATGACAAGAATGTTACATGAAACATGTACAGCGAGCTGGCGTAGATTATAATATGTTACCTCTCCCGCCACCATATCTATTCAACTATAGTCGTTCTTATTGATATGTTTTTGCTGTCCAGTGAAAAGTAGATACTCAATTATCTTTACAAGAAACTCTGAAAATATCGTCAGACCAAGATGAATTAATCTTCAAGATTTGATTCTGTCTATGAGCAGCCTGTCAGACGAATCTTAGGGACAGATTGACAAAACTTCAGAGCTGAGTTGAGACTTGAGACTGCAATTTGTACAGTTAGAGAGGGCTGTATATAACACTTAAAGTTTGAAATACAGTACTAGACTTTTCCATCTGACGAAGTAAGAGTATGATCAGTTTTAAAGGCAGTGGAAGACGACGAGACTGAGACAGAATTGGTGCCTCTGGACGGTGAAGAGGAAGGAGCAGGTAGCTTCTTGGGCAGCATCTGTTGCCAGAATTCCTTGGGCAATCTTGATCCTTCTGATAGAACCACAAACACAAGCAGAGTGAAGAGCAGGCAGTGGTGCCTCCAAGAACCTAACATGGTGATGATGATGACTGAGGAACGCTACTTCTGCTACTACACGAGGAATTTGTGCAGAGAGAGTCCTGTTTCCTTTAGCTTTGAAAAAGAGGAACTTTATTAGAGTCTGTGGCAGGAAACATGTTCAGTAATATAAGGAGGCTGCCAACTTTGTTTGTTTGGGGAAGGATGCGTGAATGGCAGACAATAAGGTATTTGATAATGTTAAACCGTCAAGCAATCCACGTTGTCGCTCTCATTTTCTAATGCCCTTCTAGATTCTGAGTGTGCATGTGTGAGGACTTTCAGCAATATTTGTTAACTTCTCACTCTGGACCCCGCTCTGGCTCGCTAGCTGGATACTATTATTTAATTCACCCTGTGTCTGAGACGATATCTTGGTCTTCAGACTTGTTTCAAAGTGTATCAAACCAGTACTGACATTATGTTAACCATGATAAATTTTTTGGCTACCTGGCTACTTTCTTTTGCCCCTTCAAAGGCTCTTTCTCTGTCTTGAAGAATCGGTAACATTTGTTAGCTAGGTAAGTCCTACATATTGTTTAGGCATAGCATTAGAACTCAAATGAAGCATTGATTCAAGCCATCTTGTCCCTTGTATTTTTTTAAAAAAATATTATTAATATTGGTTTTGAATTCCAATCATGCAAACACGAGGAAAGTGCTCTTTTTCAATTAGTTTCATAAGGTTCAAAAGCTAAACAGGGAAAAAGCGCATTGATACTTTTGTATGCTGCTTTCCCAACAGGGGAATGTATTAAGTAAAGAAAGATAATGGTTTCCACGGTGGCAGTGGAAGGTAGATATGATTTTTTTTAAAAAAAAATGAAAAGGATCCTGTAATAGACATCCTTCTCCTTTTTTATTGCGCCAAAAAGATACACACTACTTCGGAAAACATGCATGAAAAGTCTTAAACAAACACACAACTAATGTAGGCATTGCATTAGGGTGGTTCAAGAACTCTATATCTGAGTTAGTGGCTAATGATCTACTCTATAGCAGTAGCACATCGATTCTGTCCCATTAAACCTTTTTTGTTCAGCCCCTTCTTTTTCAAAAAAATATTTGAACAAACTTTAAAAATTAGACAAAAAACTAGAAATAGCTGAACACATTGATGTATTTTTGTAAGCTACAGAACGGTCATAAAAATTTCGATTGATTTTTAGGTTTACCGCAACACAAAAGTTTAAACTTAGAATTGATCCTATCGAATCATAGTTCCACATAAACTAATTTTGATAGGAAAGAATATAACAAGTTTTGCATTGTTGAAATGAAATGCTTGTTTAATAAAGAAATGTTAGAATAACATTAAGCAGAAACAATGAAGAACTGAAAAGAAGAACAGCTGCCTTTCACAAAAAGGGGCTAGGGCCATGAATGCCAATGAATGTGTAGCTAAATTGGAAGGCAATGAATTAAGAAATTGTGAAGAGGGAGGGATTGGGTTAAAGCTATGAAGTTAATATGATTAGTAGCGCAGTTGGAAGGTGGAAATGGTAGGGTCTCATCTCTCTTAAACTGCTGTCATGCCCCCACCCCCACGCCACATTACTTCTCCTTTCTCAATACATTTTCCTTTCACTTCATTTTATGTATTCTTGCTGGAATTCAAACACTGAAAGCGCCAAATAATAAATATAGTCAAACCAGCTAAAATCACTAGTCTATAATCCATAAAAAAAACAATATGTTACAACTTTGAGACCAGGAATCAGAGATGAAAAGAATTGAAATTACAAGGTTTTTTGTTTGTGGTTTTCTTCACCAAAACGAACTCAACATTAAAAAGGCGGGAAGTGTTAGGCAGTTTCGGTCTCTTAAACACGTGCCGTTAAGTCAGCCTAGAGAACTACAACTAGTTAGCTCGATTCTATCGTCGTTGCGGCTCCCAGAACAGAATGGAATGTTAACGTTGAAGAGCAGATTTTTCTTGCTCACTCGGTAACTTGGATTGGGGAAGGTATTATATTGGTGAACTTTCTATCTCCTCCTTTTCAGTCGGGAATTGCCACTTTTTAATTTGGAGCTCAAGTCTCAAAGGAGTAACTAAAGGGGAAAAAAAAGAGTGATTATCTGAAGCAACAGTCAAGAATGATCAATTTCATTATAGTCTTCAAATTAGATGCATTAACATATAATAATTCCACGGAGTCCCCAGAAGAAATGTTCCATTTTTCAGTCAAAGGCAAGTTGACATGAAGCAAATTTTACGGTGAACATTTAGGTTACAGCGCAATCAGCAACAACTTACTTTGTTGGCAACAATTTCAAGATATGCTAATGATAGTTCACTAACCTCCTAACAACTAGCACTAACCGTTCGAGGTGCCATGTAACATTAATAGAAATACTAATAATCCAATATTATTGACAGTGAACAATAGACATGAGGATATGAATTTGAATGAGTAGACTAGGTACACACGGACAAATCGGACGGATCCAGTGACAACCATAAGAAGGTCAGCTCGGTAATGAGGCAAAACCTGAAGAACATCCTTCTAAATTGCCTATCAGGATAGGAAGGAGATGAGCTTTTGGATTTTGCAAGGTCGATTGGATCTTTGAAATTGGTATCTTATGGCGTCTCTTTATTGGTTGAGGTAGATTCATTCAGAGACAGATTCTGTGTTTGTCCAACCAAACTGTCATAGGAGGAACTGGACCCCTTAATCAAACGAGACGAACCTTGATGGTCAAACGGGTTTTGTCTCTGATTATAACTTGAAGGTGGTGGTGGTGGAAGGACCCAAGGAGATTGTTTGTCCCCGGGAGGTGGAGCAAGGCTTTCTGAAGATTTGCTTACGGAAGATGTTTCTTCATCATACACAGGCTCTCTGTCAAAATCAGGCCCCCAGGTACTCGGGACATGATTAGGAGTCGTTGATGAGATGGGATTAGGGCTAGAATCATATGGAACTGAAAATGTGGGGTCCTTGAACACAGAGGAACCATATGTTCTGTATGCATCACCGCTTAGATAGTCAATCATCCCAGAGTCATGGAAGACCGGCTTCCTTGGAGCTGGTGGAGGGGGAAGAAGTGGACTTACTCTCACTGGCAATGTCTTGTCATTGGCTGGCTTCTTGCTCTGTGCATGGCTATTTCTTGAAGAGCTGGAATGATGAAATGGTAAGAGAAATTTGTGGTCATAAAACAATTACTGGCAAGATTTAGCATATAATGGAGAAATTTGTGGTCACCGGTGGGCGAGTTGGCCAAAATCATCTCCTGATTCATCGTCCTCATGGTTTACGTTCTCGAGTGGCAAAACTGGCAGAACCGAAGTTCCTTCTCCTCTTGCACCCTTATTAGGAGTTCCTTTTGCAATATCATCATGTCGACGAAGAACTCGCTGCAGGCTGTCGTTCAATGCCAGCCCTAGACCTAAAAGCTTCTCGTCCCTGAAAGTGAAAAAAAGTAACCGTCATTCTTCTTAGTTACACATTGGAAAGAGGACTCAATCAATCTTCTTTAAAAGATATCTTACAATGTATTGTTCACAAGAACCATGACACGTTTTTGATAAGCAAGGCATTGATCAACAAGATCAACAATCACTTCTTGCTTTACACCCTGCCATATGTTACCAAAACTGTTATGAATAAGAATATTGATTCACATATTCGGTGAGTTAAAATAACTTTGAGCCATGAGTGTTCTGTGAATTAAAATAAAAATGATATTGAGCCAGCCGAAGCAGTAGATATCGAAATTGTGTTAGTTCAGCCCTTGCAAGAAATGTTAACCCCCCACCAATTCTAGTCCCTTCCATCCAGAAACATTTCGAGTTCTGTACACTCCTGATTAAATTTATGGCAAATACTTAGGGAGAAGAAAAGGGTTGATGTTGTGCACTTGTGCTTGATACTAATGTCGCAAACCTTAAAGCAAAGTCATAAGACATAATTGGGAAAGATAAATTTTGAGGCAACACATTAAAAAGAGAAACGAAACAACTGAAAAAAGGCCTTACAGCGGCACTGAAACTTCTAACAATCTCACCATAAACCACTTCATATTCACGGGATCTCAGCGCAAAAAGAAATAATTTTGTTGAGATTGTTATTAATCAGAAGCTGCCTACTTTTCATGATAAGCAAATAAAGAGAAAGCAGCAACTTCCAGGTTCAAACATAGTTTAATAGCAAGCAAACTGAACAGAAGTTCCAGAATGAAGATAGGTGGAAAGAAACCGAAAATATTATACTTCTTCACCTCAGGATTATAAGGATCCAAGGCATTAAGCATTTCTGTCAGCACATCCACCAGTCCTCGAGCATTTTGAATATCTGGCCAACTGATTATTAACAAATTTAGCAAGGCATAGATATGACACAAACTACCATTTATTTTTAATAAATAAACAGGTCAGGACAACTTGAAAACAGCAAAGAAAAAAGTTAACATGCTCATGCAAATGTAGGAAATGTTGAATAAAATTATGGATATACTACTAATATGTTGGATAGTAAGGTAAAATGCCAGTATATAACGGGTAAGGCATCTGTGACAACTTCCAAAGAAATCATTTTAAAACATGAGAAATTCACAAACATAGGTGTTCATTTCCATGGTAGTGATATAAATAACGAGGTGCAAAATACCCACCCAAAAAGTACATGGGGGAAATATTTATGCTTTCTTCCTGGAGACAATTTAATGAGCAAGGATGCATAACATAGCAGCATCAGCACAGTGCAACGCACGGTAGCTATGCAATTTTTATCTAAATAAGCTCAGTTCTTTCTTCTCCTTAATTGCTTTCTTACTCTGTTTTTACTGGGTTTCAAATTCATTGCAGCAGCAACAAATAAATCCATTACCACTAATGAATGACCACAAAAATAGATTGAAATGACATAAAACTACCAGTGGAAATCAGGAAACTTAAGCAGCACAGAAGCTTACAAAATGAAAACCCGGAAACAGAAATTTTATAGCAACTGTGATTATGATGATGCAATAAGATGGCAAAAGTGACTGAATTACTCCGTTGGTTTCTTACATAAGGTCAATAGTCTGAAACTGATGAACTTTTAGCCAACAAATAGCACACAAGAAGATTCGAGCACTGATAATGTCATGCTATTCAAAGACTACCTAAGGCCAGAAGCATCTGACTGAAGAGAAGCCTGAACACCAGCATCGTCATATTGTTCAACAGAGTCAACAGTTCGCTGGGTTAGAGGAGGAGTGAAAAATGGTACGCTATTCTCTTCTTGAGGTGGAAATTCAACTCCAGCAGACTGTAAATCATTATAATATCACATGCAGAAACAAAAATATTGACTTGTTGGTACCAAACAGCAGCAACTCAATGCTAGATATTTTGGACAGGAGGTTTTGATTTATACAGTCTAAAAAATGCTAAAGCATAAAAACCTTCAATTTTTTTGGAAGCCTGTGTGACAGCACGACCAGCTTATTGAGCATACCAGCCTAACAAAAAAATATCAATGACATGTGGGTTCTGATAATGGATTATGACACAGCTTTATTGAGTTCAGGTTAATTTGATTTTGATCCTGGAATTAAAGGAGGGTCCATCATACAGGCAGCAAAATCAACTGAAAGCATTAAGAAACATCTCATAGTACTAATATACATTCATAAAAATGTTGATTCAATCCACATCCATAGTCTGTAGAATATTTGCTTGCCAAATGAAGATCGATGCCAAATGTAACAAGTAGTAGAAACAGAAAAAATGACCTTTAATTCATTATATGCTGCATAGTACCGGGGATACCTTCCAGTTCGACCCCCGAAAGCTTCTTGCCACGTATTAATTAATATCAGTATCTTTTCCCTCACGTTTAAGGCTGGCTGTACATTCAATTATTAGAATGTAGCACTGGATAAGAATGACTTCCACTTTGAAGATAAATAGAATGTTGACAGACTGAAATAAGTAGATCACAGAAGAAAATTCAATATAAATAAGCACTATGCACCTTCTTCTTCACTATCTTAACCATTTCCTGCAAGATATCCTGCTGTATGATATGGAATACGTTTTCACCACAATTTTTACTAATGGTCTCTAATGCCTACAACAAATGGTACGCAAAACATCCGTGATAGTTAAATTATGGGCTTTATACAAGAATATATTAAAACTCAGTAATTATCCAAAGCACATAGAAAAGAACAGAAATACTAACAAAAAGAGCTAAAAGTTGGATCTGGGAATTCTTATTGTTTAAGCGCTTCTTAAGTATATTTATTGCATCTTTTGCTTGCCTGCAAATTAGTTTGAGTGCAACAAAGAAGATTAGTGACAATGAAATTTAAGGGATTGACGATAAGGACTAGACTGTTACATCAAAACTAAACAAAAAGTTCAAATTCAACTTGAAGAAGGGCCCCTTTCAGCAATGGAATTAGAAGGTACTCCGACCGATTTCAGTTCCTTTTTTTTGGACCAAAAAAAAAAAAAACTGTTTCACAATTCTTCACTATATAATCTTCTTATTTCCTTCGATACCCATGTGTTAATATGAAGAATGATACCTGGGGTCCGCATTAATGATATCACACAACTCTACGTTAACTGCCCAATCTGGGCCTATCAGCATGTCGCTGGTTGCCCTTTCCGCGCAGGTTGAGGCGTTATTTGCCATTTTTCACTGACTCTGGTCAACTCTTTATTTTGAAACTTCATCAACGAATAAGAGCAAGAAAGTATTAACAAGGCAATCAGCCTTCAACATGAAGCCAAAGGGCAGAGTTATATACGCCACAGAAACTGTAGAGTGCATCATTAAGAACACAACTTTTCTTTTGGACCAGCATTAAAAACACCACCTAACATTATAGATTTTAAAAGATGAAAGTTCAAAGAGCAACTCAGTAAAATGAATGAATTAATGATATATATTAACCCTGAAAATGTTGAGCGAAGCAATAAGATTGTGGATTGAAAAAGTAAGCTCAAAATTGAAAGGACGAAAGAAATGTGTGTCCAATGTCGTGAACGCGGGCCCAAATGGCGAAGCAAATACGAAGGCAAACAATAAGATGAAGAGAAAATACCACGCAAAATAAGGGGAGAATGCAACAACATCAAAGGTGAAGGTCAACACCGATCAGAGGCTAAATTAGAGAAGAGGAACATGAAATCGTAGGAATTCAAGTTCTACTGGACTTGGGTTGGCGTAACCACGACATAAACAAAAATCAGAAAATGTACCTCTCAGGAACTGCGCAACAGGGTCAGAATAAGGGGAAGTGATTCTGAGAATGTTTGCATGCATGCGCCAAAAATCGAAGAGGAGAAAACTAATCGCAAAAGAGGAAAGAGCAATTCTTGAATAGGGGGTTTTGTGCATGGTTGTTTTAGCATTAATATTATGGCGAATGTTCTTTGCGGAACCATTCACGGTATTTTAAAGGTTTCCTAATTTGGATTCTGTTAATGGGTGGGAAAATATCCAAATTCCAAGCTCCTTGCCAAAGGAGTGCTCATTTGTGTGTTGATCATTTATTCATTTCGTCTTCTGTTTCATGCATGTTTCATCACGAGAAAGCGGGGGACCCTGTGGAAGAGACGTGGTACATTCAGGATACTGAAATACTGAAATTACGTTCTCTTTTAATAATTTTTGGCAAAGGTTTTTTATTTTGTTCAGGTGATATTTATTGATATTGTTGGTCAACGTGTTATATTTAACGTAATCTTGATGGGAACTGTTGAAACTAGCCGGCGAGGGGGTTTAGATGATGTTGAGGAGAGGCGGGTATTGCGGGGATATGAACGGGCTAAAGGGCTCTTGTAGATCACAGTGCTATGATCAAGCTAATAAGTAAGGAACAACAAATGATTGGCGTGAACGGATATAGGCGAATCCATATCCATGCGTGCATTTCTTTTCTTACCCACTTATGCTCTTCATTTTGACATTGCCACTATTCCTGCACTTTCCATCCTTGAATTATTCTTTTTTATGCTGAATAATTTTCCCGTAGGAGCAAGTACGTGTTGATTTTAAAGTATAAGATTTAAATTCTTCTTTCAAACTAATTTTTTTAACTTATAAACTGATACATAATAATATTACTTAAATATATTTAATTTTATTAACATATCCAAATTAGTGAACTATTAACAACAAGAAGATTAGTAATAATTTGCCAAAATTAATTAATTACGGCCAAGTCAGTTTTACATATAACTACCATCAGATCTGCATATTTCTTTACTATTTCACTTGTCACTTTCTAGCCGTCTACAACGTAATCATAGAAGATAGCATGGTTCCTTGACTGCCTTATTCAGCCCACATATTTTTATTATCTATATTTAAGGACCATTTAAACTAAGGAGGAAAACGCTGACGGAAACCCTATATTTTGATCGGGCAGAAACAAATCCTAATCCTGGTCACAAACATAACCATATCTCTCCGAGATTTTAAGTTAAACAAAAAAATAAATAAATTTCAATCAAAATTAACCGTAAGATCTCAGGCCAAAACAGACAAAAGAGCTGTAAGATCAGGCATTGATCCCCTATCCGATACAAAATTAAGCTGACAGGAATAAATATTTTGACGCCTTATACAGAGTACAGACAAGCTCCCACATCTGAGCTGGGATTTTCGTCCCAATGTCATCATTAGGATGTCGTCATACGGACGCCTCATAGTCATATAATACTGAGGGCACCACTCTGGCACTTGACCCATTGGTCCCCGGCTTACCGGATTCACTTCTCTGGTTCATCCAAAAGGGCAGGGCTCTTGAAGAAGACAAAACGAGATAAAACCCAGTAGCATATACATACACACACAACAAACACATATCTTGTATTCAGACACGCTTGGACTTCCATACTTGATCCTTCTGCTCCAGTCTGCCCACTCACGCTTACATGTCAGAAGACTGTAATTACATGACAATACGAGGATCATGTGGTGTTCTGGTTCCGCAAATATCGGAGGCGTCTATGATTTCTGTGTTAGGCTTTTTTGGGTTTGAGAATGAAAGAAAGGAAGGGCCAGCAACTATCACCACCACCGCTCTCGTGCCTGCATCACATCCAAAACCAATAATCTAGAATTTAGCAACTAACTAATGATGACCAGCACGTGGTCTTTCGCGTTGAAGATAATACTTGCATTTAATTTGCTTAGTCCGACAGCCCTGTCCCCTTTTTTTGGGTGGGGGGCGGGGGGCCTGTGAAGTGCTTAATGAGATCAGTAAACAGCCAAAGCTGCATTTAGCTAACGAACAATGCCCAGCTGTAAAAGGTTCATTTTTGTTCGTCTTTCTAGACAATGTCGGCTTCATAGTTTAAGGTTTGAGCTTAACCCCCCCCCCCTCCTTTTCTTAAAATCCCACAAATCCAAAGCGGGATTTGATTGAAGACAAGACCCTAAAAGTAACACACAAGCACTTTATCAATTAAACACATCAGCCCCTTTAACCGTGACTATACAGCGTTACAAGACGTCAAAGCAAAGCCACTCTGCCCGACATCCCATGCAGGCTTTAACTTTTTATCTTTGACTGCGTCACCAAGTTAGAGCCTTAAACACGGTCCATTGCTATTCCAGAGATACCAGGAAAATTTCCTGTTCATATTTTACACAACATATTGTCAAAGATAAACAGCTGAATATTCGATCAGGAATTTTTGGGGGGGGGGGGGGGAACCCACGGCAATGCATTGACCGAAGTTCAATTTGGTTTCAGTCACAGTGATAAGAAACAAAAAACGCATAACAAGAAGATATACAGCACCCCTATGTTTAGTGTGCACTCGATAAGAGTATTTTGTCTAATCTGCCATTTATTTTCACTGAATTATTATTAAAAGAAGATAAGAAGTGCAGAATTCAAATCTCCATGAGCAATTCTGCTTTGATTCTGTTACTACTAGGGTGGTTTAAAATTTGAACATACCTGCTGTTGTTTCTGCTCCTGCCGCTGTTACTGCCAGAGCTTTTCACGCTTCCGCTGTTGATAGTTGACACACCACTATCACTCTTCGCTGAAGCTGAAAGGCTCTTCTTCCACCAGTCCTTATCAGCGGCCTTCACGGATCCCTCAGATAGCGAATGCCTCGGAGAGACCTTAGAACTACCATTCGCCGACGATTCATTTTTCTTCTTCTTCTTGGATCCCAAAGAAGCAGGGAACATCATCTTCAGATAGAAGCCTCCCCTATCCACGTTGCTGCCTTTCTTCATCTTCCTAATATTACTTTCCCTTTTCTGGCCACGTTTACCATTGGGATTCCGGTCGTCTGCGGCATTTTCGTCCCGAGCGTCCACCCAGGGTCTCTCGACGAGATCTTTCAGAGAAAGCTCGTAGGTGCGTTCGGGCATATTCCGAACCATTTCCATGAGTTCCATTTGGCCTCTGGCAACGGCCTGGGTTCTGGAAGCAGGGGACAGGCTTCGATAATAGTTCTTGCGCTGTTGGGGGCTTCTAGGCGGACTAGTCCTCCACAGAGGTGGCGAACAAATACCTGAATCATCATCCGCCTCCTTCGATTGCGTTGCCAGTCGTGTTCCCGTCCCGTTGGGGCAGCCATGACTATGAGTTAACGGGAAAGAGAGGCTGGGTTGGTCTCTTGGGAGGTCAAGGAGGGCCATGTTGAGGGTTGAATTGGATGGAGATGGAGAAGGGGGTAATAAGAACAGTAATATATGGGCACCGACCAGGGATTGAGGCAGAAAGGGGGATGCTAATATAATTTCTTGGTAAGTAAGTTTTGAAGGGGAAGGAGACGAGGGTCGTAAAAGTCAAGGGATTCTGGATGGTGGGAGGACGTAGGGCCAACACATCCCACAAATCCTCCGGCTTTGTCTTTTGTCTTTTTGTGGATTTTGAAATGCACTCTAATTCATCATTAATTACGCACCCAATGAAATGGATCAACATGGAAGAAGGAAAGCCTTGTTTTTAACCGAGCCTTTTGCTGAAACCAATGAAGAACAGCAGAGCATGATTAAAGAGGCATTGGCATTGGCGCTCCCAGAACGAGGCTGTTGGTTCAGTGTTTTAGGGGTGGGGTAAATACTAACTAGGTTGTTGGGAATTCTCTGGTTAAAAAAAAAAAAAAGGTTGTTGGGAATTATTTGACCCCGCAGTGCAGTGCACTGTAGGTAAGTGTGAAAAGGAGAGGCCCCCCTCTAACAAAAAGAGAGTGAAGATGAGTTTGGATCTTAAAGTAAATAGGAAGGAATCATTTTGTCTTTCTGTGCAATCCCTTAACGGACAATCGTCGTCGCCTTCCTTGTTACGGGTCTCTCTTCTTTTTCTGTTCGCAGCTAATATTCACGCACACTCATCAGTACAGTTAATAACCCTTCCATTCATCATGCAGCCATGCACCTGTATCCGCAGCCCACACCTGCTCTACTGCACCTTCTCTGAGTTTTTTTTAAAAAAATATTTCCTTACAATAATACTCTTCAGGTCCTTAATATAAGACCCATTTAACTAATTTGATTAGATTAGGGAAGTTAAGTAAGTTAGTTAATTATAAGAAATGTGACATGTTTTTCCTAAAATACATAATCATCTTTCTTAATACCTCATCTCCATCTTCTACTTGATTATGGTTGAGGGAGTATTCATAGGGGTACTTTAGAGAAAATTGATAAATATGATAAATGAGTCTTATATTTAGGACCAAAACCAACTCAACAATTGGGTCCTATATTAAGAACTGGAGGAGTACTATTGTTATGAAAGTTTTTCTTTTGGGGAAAAAAAAAAGGCCCCGTTGACTGTGAGCTAAAACTAAAAATTGTGAGATAGCGTGCAGAAAAAGAGAGAATTATAATGAGATTCTAAATAAGAAAAACAATTAAAAAATAAGTTCTAAAAGTTGTCATTTTCACTATAAGACTTGTTATTATAGGCTGTTGAGATTGTTATTGGGATTTTTTAGAAATTATTTCTTTTTTATAAGACTTGATTGTAATTCTCCCGCAGAGAAATTGCCATGTAGGTTCTGCGCTCGTATCCACTGAGAACTGAGCATCTAATCGTCGCTGCAAGTTTCTTCTTATTTTGTCCCCTTGGTTTGTGTGCGCGCGCTTTACATTTGACATTCGCATGTCGAATTATCAAAACCAAATTCTCATCTTTCCTCGTGATGAAAGTTTGATGTTTAGGTATTTGTCTTGGTAAACCTCTGCTTATTGAAATGTTAAAAGACAAATCCAAAAATTAATCTCGTAAAAAGTGAAAACACGAGATGTCGATCGGGTAAACACATACATGATCTTCAATATATGGATGATAACGGCTTAATTTGGATGATTGGTGGCGTCAACGCCGTCAGCTATGGATTTATAATTAATCCACGGAAATTGCATTTCAAAACAGACAAGATTCAAAAATAGAGTGACAAACTTAATCTGAGGAGTTTTAGACTTTGTTAACATGTAAAAATTAAGAATACATACTCTAAGCACGACTTGGCTTATTAAGCTAATTGTTTCATACATTATTATTCATGCAATGATGAGTATTGAGCGTGGAATTTACAAAATTATTTGGATTTTAGTCAATAAAAATAAATTAATTTCGGTTTTGTGATTATTTTGGATATATGTCTACCTTTAACAAATTTATTGAGAGCGAGAGAAATTTAATACGCATGGGCGAACCAAATAACATGAAAAGTAGGTGTGATCGAGAAAAAGCTAAAAGTGGGGAGCGCATTTGAAAAGAATTGCCTCTTATTTTTAATACAAGAACTTGTTAGATTTTTAATTTAGTCTTAAATATAATATCTTAATTTTGTTTTTTAAATTTATCTATTTTTTTAAAATAGTCCTTGTACTTTGCACACGTTATTCTAATTAGTAATTCTAGCTAATACATATAATTAGTAGAAAGTATTTTAGAAAAGATAACACCTACTTATTAAAAAAATTAAATTAATTAATTTTTTTAATCTTTTAAATAAAAAGCCAACAAAAGTATGAACGTCTTTCCAAGGCCAGCCCAAAAAAACAAAGAAAGAAGTGAAAACAGGTGGATATGGATGACGGACAATGTGGAGGCCAAACGAGTGACACGTATATCTGAAAATTTGGCTTCAAAAAGCAGACAAAAAAAATTAAAAAGAACCAACGGCGGTTTCGGGCCTAATTAATTAATTAATTGACGGCGTCCTCTGGTCTGCCCAATGCTTGGGTCATTCCCTGAGGGGACCCCCAGGCCCTAGTTAACGGTTTACGACAGTATGATGAATTTAAACGGTTTACGACAGTATGATATTTCCTGTTTTCTTTTTTATTTTTGGAGAGAAGGGGATCTTCCCTGTTCATCGCCTCCCTTTGATAATTATTGGGAGCGTTGCGCTTTCCTTTCCTTTTTTGTTTTTCGGCAGCACTCTCTCTCACATGTCATCTTCCAAGCAACTTTATCCCATCTCTTTCAAATTTCATCAAATGATCATCCTCACCTTCCAATGCCTATTAATTATTCCCTTTTCTTTGCACTAATTCAGTTCAATTACGGTGACATTTCATTTTTAATCACCAACTCCATGCAATAGGATATAAAATATTACCTCCAATCCTAATTATAGCACATCCATAATTAGGATCGGAGGTAGTGTAAGATACCGCGTCTAGTCATTTTCCTCCCCCAAAGCAAACGGCTAGATTTCAAGATTCTGTGGTACGGAACTCATGACGTGGATTGCTTTTCTCTTCAGAACTATTCAAGCAGGCTCATTAACAAATAATGGGTTAATTTTGTACAATGTTTTAATTTTTTTTTTTAATTTTTAAAAGTATATATTTGATTCTTTAACTCTAAAATCATTAGGATGCGATGATGAGTATTTTTATCATAATGATGGGCATTTTGAAAATTAAACTTAATATGTTAGTATTTAAGAATATTTTATCAATATTTAAGATCTTAATGTCATCACTTTTTTAAAAAAATTAGGGTTAAAGACTAAAAGTATACTTTTTTAAAGTTAAGAGATCAAATTGAAACCTTATACAAAGTTAAAGGACCAAAAAATATACTTTAGTCTAAATAATAATACTTTTTTTTTATAAGCAGTCTAAATAATAATACTACCAGTCATGGTTTGTTCTTTATTTATGCAATTAATTAATTTACCAGATAAATATAAAAGTAAGAATGGAAATTGCTTTTTCTTTGAGAAACGATACTCGTGGTGAAGCCCTGAACAGGGAAAGCCCACTGAAGGCCCATATTACTCCCCATCGGTGTTAAGCCCTGTTTGGGAACCCATAGGATATGGACCCAAGCAAAGGAATCCTGAGGTGTATAATGACCCTCCGGCTTTCTGCGTCCACACCCCAGTCCAGTGTCCTTATGTCCGGGCGAAACAAATAACAGGAGTTGAAATGCCAAAGATGTCCTCAATTGCAGGTGAGTCTGGATTTATTATATTACTCCCTCCGTTCCGTTTTATAAGATACAATTAACTAAATCACATTATTCAAAAAATTAGTTAAAATTAGTTAGGTGCAATAAAGATGTAAAGATTGTAACCTTTTTGCCAACAATACCCTCATTTATGTGGAAGAGAGATAATGTGTGGGAGAGATAATGAATGGGAATTAAATACAATTATATGAGTAATATGAGTAATTAAATAGGGATAAAATAGGAAATCAACACACAAAATTTGAGACAACCTATAAGTGTCTCTTATAATAAGAAACATGATATACTTTACAATTGTCTCTTATAATAAGAAACAGAGGAAGTACTATTTTTTAACCCCCTCTGTCTGCCGTTTAAAACGCGTCAGTGAACCACAGATGCAAAGAGTGGCTGATATACAATTATACCTTTTTTTTTTGGTAATATTTATAAATCATAGATGGATAATAATTTGATTAGTTAGTCAACTATAGTATCTACGCTGGCCAACAATTTGATAGCTAATATCGAGTTGGGAGACACGCATGGGAGGTTATTTTAGACATGTGCAAGAGTTTTAGGTACCCGATTCATCTTCATGTGATTCTGATTGTTTGACTGGCTGACATAAGGAAAAATTTTTCCATGTTTTGTTAAATATAAAAGTAATATTTTTTTTTTTGACCAGAAATATAAAAGTAATATTTACAAGACTGGTAAAAATAAAGAAAGCATCCCTGATGTGAATAAAAATATCTGTAACTGTATAAATGGGTTTCTTTCTTTTCTGGGACGGGCCCCCGGGGGGGGGGGGACGGATTGTGATATATGAGATGGCGACGCTGGCGGTTCCGAAAGGATTGCGTGCAACTGTTGAATATTGTTTCGCTTTCACGTCCAATGTCTGAATAACAACTGAAGTGGGGATGAACACCGAAAAATCAGCTTTTATCTCAATTGACTTCTGTAAAAGCATCTTTATCATCCTTCTCATTAACGTGTTTAGTCTTTTTTGTTCCTGGAAATTAAAGTAACAGTAACTCTGTATCAGGGAAAAAAGAAGAAGAAGAAGGCAACAGCGACTAATACTACTTCTGGTCCTTAATATAAAAACTTCTTTGACTTTTATTTTGATCATGAATATAAAACCCCAATCTACTTTGTCTCTCATATTTAAGTATTTTTTTCCAAGATAATCCTTCTAACAATGGTAGTTCTAACCAATACACTTGATTAACACAAGTATTTTAGGAAAGACAACATCTATTTGTTACAAATAAATAACTTAACTTATTTCTTTAATCTCCTCAAATTAGTCA